ATTAGTATAAATGTGTTATTGAGATAATATATTAATTATTTTACATGTTAGCCCTAACATGCTCATATTTAGTGTTCGGATCGATTATTAAAATAGGTGGAAAATAAATTATAACCCTATCGTTTTATAGATTTAACACGCTGATTAAAATATATGGAAAATAGATGATAACCCTATTAATTTATAGACTTAAATGGACAAAGTATGTGAAAATAATTCATTTAATATCTCTCTCCCGTGCATCGCACGGGATACGTACTAGTTTTTATAATAGAATGACAAATAAATTAAATATACAAATAATAATTTAAAAATTAAGAAAGTTAATTACTTTAAATAGTACCTATATTTTACACCCCATTCGTCAAGGTGATATTTTTTTAGTATCACACACACACACAAAATATATATTTTTGTAACTCTAGCAATTTAATTTTGAATTAGTTTAATTATTATCAAGTTTGATTTTATATATACTAGTGTATATCTCGTGTGATGCACGGAGAAGCTCATATTTTAATTATTTTTTTAGAATTTATTTTAAATATAATTCTTTATATTTTTTTATTTATGTAATTAATTTAAAATATGTAAATAAGTTTAAAATCAAATAGTGTATAAATAATTTATAAAATATACAAACATGTTTTTTTAGAATTTAATTTGTATACGAATTAAACAACTTTGATTTAGGAAATGCCAAAAACACAATCTCTTAAATAGTAAATTATATTAATTTGAAGAGTAATTTATTTTTATATATATAACGAAATAAAGCTTAAGAAAAAATTATATTGACAAAGATTAATTTACCAACTTGATTTCACCTGATTAATTGAAAGAAAAAACTCTACCGAACCTGTTACACTTTCCTATAAATATTTTTGGATAAAAATTGAAAATTTGTGAAAATCGATGCATTTAAATTTTGAAAAGTTGCACACTATTTTTCCTAAATAATTGGATAAGGTGACTTTAAATATCAAAGATGAACAGTTTTTCTTACCAAAAAATGTGGACACAGTTTTGAATGTACATCTCGTCCAAATATCAGTTTTATTTTAAGAAAAATTGCACGTGGTTTTATCCAATTTACACACTTTTTTTGAAGAAAAAATTATTCAATAAGATTGGAAGAATTGGTTAAGAATTATACAACTATTTGTTTCCTAAATTTGTATCCAATCTGCACAGTTTTTAAATTAATTTGTATTTAGAATTGTTTTCATAAATAATTGACACTTTTTATGCATAAAAATCTCAAAATTTGTTACCACAAAAAATAGGTTTAAAATTTTGGTAAAAAAAATGAGATTCAAAATTTTGTCATAAGAATCTCCAAATTTATTATCAAAAAATAGGATTCAGATGTTGTTACTAAAGATTTACATGTGTTTTTTTTTTAACTTTCCATTAATAGTAATCAAATTTTTATTAATGTATTTTTCCAACAATCTCTTTATATATATGTATAGATATAGATATAGATATAAATTTCTTTACTTATTTCTTTTGATACAAGTATTTATTTTAATGCAGCTATGTTGTTCACACAAGTTATATTAATTGAAAATTAAAATAATTATTGTATTTAATTTTGATAAAAATAAATGTACTTTAAAATAAAATAAATAATATTTCACAATTTTTTTCTAGAATTCGAAATAATATTACGAATTCTTTTACTTTCTTATTAATTATTTATTATTTTTGTTTCACAATAAGACTTTTATTTATTTATTTATTTATTTATTTTTGTTATTTGTTGTACAATTATTTTCTTACCAAACACCCGTGTAATTCACTGGCATCTAGGGGTGAGCATGAGTCGGTACGGTTCGGAGATTTATCAATCTCCGAACTGTACCGAAGTTCGGAAATCACTAAAATTCGATCTCCAGAACCGTACCAAAAAACCAATTCGGTCCGGTTCGGAGATTTTTATTTTTCGGTTTGGTTCGGTTTTCGGGACTATCAGAACGGTTCGGTTCGGTTTGGTTCGTTCAGATATTCGGAGATTTCTTATCAACTTTTAATTTTTTTTAATGACCACCTAGCAGTATTTTATTTTTTATATATATATTTTTTTTAAAAAAAAAATCCAACATACATCAATACTTCATCATACTAAAAATTTCATTTTTAAATCAACTTTAGAAGCAACCCTAAATTCTAGATAAGACTAAATTCAACTAACATTAAAAATTTAAAATTCAAACAAAATATAATACACTTTTATATTAAAGTAATATTTATTTAACCTTCCATACCATGTTAGTTATAAGATAAAGTAAGGTTAAGTATCGACAACTTTAAGTAAAGCTTAAATATTTTTTTTTAAAAATCTTTAACCTTTCATTCCGTTTTATTTTTAATTAAACATGAGAAATTCAATTGTAGATCAAGTATTACTAAACATAAATGTAAGTGAATCTTAATTGTTATTACTATATTTTATTTGTATTTTAAAAATTCTCAAATTATATAGGATCAAAGTTGACATAAAATATATTAATAACATGCATCTATTTTTTTAATTTTGGTTCTTCGGTTCGGCATGGTACGGGACGGTTCGGTTCGATTCTCGGTACGGATATTTATGAAATCTCCAGAACCGTACCAATTATTTTTTCGGTTCGGTTCGGATCAGATAAAGTGAAATGGTCAACGGATATTTTTCGGTTTGAAGTGATTTTGGTTTGGCTTTTGGAACGGTTCGGAATTCTCCAAGTCCCATGCTCAGCCCTACTGGCATCGATCGTGCATGCTAGTTGAATTATAAAGAATAATGGTGCATTGTATTGTGGAAATATACTTACGGAAAAAGTACCTATTGGACCCATAGGTATTTATTCATTGTTTTTGGTTACATTTAATTTACCTTGATCTTGAATAATGAATTACTCAATTACACATGTATTGAATGGACGATGGACGATAAGTTAGATCAAATGAATAAACAAACATATGCTATTGCTCATGCTCTTAATTCGTAAGATAATAAGTTAACGTTTTCACTCCACAAAGTGCAAAACAAAGTATACGATAAACTATGCGACAAACATGAGAAGATAACTAATAAAATGCGAAAAATATTATGCAATAAACTATGGGACAATGAGGTAAAAAATAATTGATAAAGTGTAAAATATTTATGCGATAAGCGACAGATATGCGATGATAATGTATAAAGTGAAAATTATTTATGTAATAAGATATGCGACAGACATGCGAAGATAATTGATAAAGTGTGAAATATTTATACGAAAAGTTATGCAACAGACAGACGAAGATAATTGATAAAGGGTGAATTAATTATGCAATAAACTATGCGACAAATAAGCGAAGATAATTTATAAAATACGAAATATTTGTGCGGTAAGCTATGCGACAGACATGCGAAGATAATTTATAAGGTGCAAAATATTTATGCGATAAGATATGCGACATACATGCAAAGATAATTGATAAATACGATTTATATGAAAAGTTATGCAATAGATAGACAAAGATAATTATATATATATATATATATATATATATGAAAAGTTATGTGACAGACATGCGAATATAATTGATAAAATGCAAAAGAGTTATGTGATAAACTAGGTTGCATGCAGGCGAAGATAATTTATAAAGTACGAAATATTTATGCGATAACCTATGCGACTGACGGGCGAAAATAATTTATTAAGTGTAAAATATTTATGCGAAAAGATATGCGACAGACAGATGAAGATAATTGATAAAGTGTGAAATTATTATGCGATAAACTATGCGACGTACATACGAAAGTGATTTATAAAGTGCAAATTTTTATGCGATAAGATATACGACAAACAGACGAAGATAATTGATAAACTACAGAAATATTATGCAATAGACTATGCAGCACACATGCAAAAAATAATTTATAAAGTGTGAAATATTTATGCAGTAATATATGCGACACAAGGGCGATGATAATTTATACAATGCGAAATATTTATGCGATAAGATATGCGCAAGACAGACGAATATAATTTATGCAGTGAGAAATTGTTATGCGATAAACTATGCGACATACAGACGAAGATAATTGATGATGTGCGAAAAAATTATGCGATAAACTATGCGGCACACTGGCGAAGTTCATTGAGCATGTACGAAATAAATTATGCGATAAAATATGCAACATACAGACGAAGTTAATGTATAAAGTGTGAAATATTTATGCGATAAACTATACGACAGATAGACGAAGTTCATTGAGCAAGTGCAAAGCAAATTATCCGATAAAGTATGCAAGTGCAACAGACAACGAATTTAATTAAGCAATTGAAAATTACTTATGCGACAAACAAACGAAGATAATCGAGCAAGTGCGAAACACAATTTGCGATAAAATATGCTACAGACAGGCGAAGTTAATTGAGCAAGTACGAATTACTTATGCAATGAACTATACTACACATGCAAAATAATCGAGCAAGTGAGATATCATTATTGCGATAAATTATACGACAAACAAGCGAAGATAATCGAGGTAGTGCAATGTTATTATGCGACAGATTGGTGAATTTGATTGATAGTGCAAAATAATTATGCAACATCCATGCGAAGATAATCGTGCTAGTACAAAGTCACTGTGGGATTGCACTACTCTCACATTGTTGTTCCGAAGATGAGTTGCGTTCAACCTCTCCACCAGCATGAACATCATCATCTGGATTTGTACGAGTGCACGGGCTTGGAGCATTGGGAGTGGTGGGAACGCTGGAGACATGGTTTGCCTACAAAGTAAACAAAGAATGTTGTGTACAAAGAGGCGTTTAATAACATATTTCTTATTTTTTTATTTTTGTTTTATATTTTTTATTCACACAAAGAATTAAAAATAAAAAGATTCAACAAATTGCTTGAAAAAATGTTCACCCGTGCATCGCACGGGTTACGTACTAGTAAATATAAAAAGAGAAAGATATACATAAAAAGTGAAAAATACAAAAAAAATAAAAATAAAGAAAAAGATCAAAAAAAAGCAACAACAACAAAGCGGGCAAACACAACATAATGGACTGGGAAATTCTAAAACAGAACCCAAATATACTCGACTCAAGATCAAATTAACATTCAAATTTTTTTGACAAGAACATGAAATAAATACTAAATGGCATTCGCCTGTATTGATTAAATAAATTGCATCTGAAGTGGTATCTATCCACAAGGATTCAGAATATTCAGCTATCGCATCTCAAGTGGTAATGCAGAACATTCATGTCAAAAGAGTTGGTATGCCCAACTACACAACACAAAAAGCATAAATTAAACACCCACAGCCAAGCCAAGCCAACCCCATCTGAGACATCTTATTTGTAGCCCTAATACGGCATCGGATTTGTATATCGCTGCTCATTTGCCACTGCACGCACAACAATAAGAAATATTACAACATTGATCAAATGTTCATACGATTAAACATTATAAGGCCAAATCAAAGACACACAACAATCTATTGGGAATAATAATTTTTTCATGCTGCACGTACAGAGGTTTGTAGACTGTTCATAAAACCATGTGTTCAGTCTTTGATCAATCCAGTACCCGACTAAAATGCACAAGGCTCCCCTTCACAAATCAAAGAAAACAAAAAAACAGGTAATCAGGACTAAACCGTGAAAATTGTAGCGATATCATGTTAAATTCTATCTAAGCATCAACAATGACCAATTTGTCGTCATGTGAATAGAATAGATAGAGACAAACCAACCTCATTATATCCACGTCCTCTTTGGCCGAGACACATGCATCCAACGAGGGATCTCGTCTAATAAGAGCCACCCTATCAGCAACTGTTCTGCCCTCCAGCACTTCATCTGCCAGCATGTTTACATCCAAGGGAAGAGCATAACCCTCAGCATAAATTTTCACGAAACCTTGGATAACGTGTTCGTTTTTCAAAAGCTCCATCGCTTTTTGAGCAGGCTTGTTTTCATCACAATCACAATCAAGGGCCTCCAGAAGCTGTTTTGCTAATGGGATGAGTTCGGGATGTTCGTTTACGAGGTGGTGGACCATATCCGAGAGCTCCTCCAGCGTCTCCTCCTGCAGCATAGCATATATATACATACAAGGCACAGTTTCAGTGGCACAACCAACAGTAGAATTAAGAAATCGACGATAACTACTAATAAACGATATGAGCATACGCTTTCAAGTATTATGGTAAGAGGAGACAATGTAGTGTTGGAACTCGGCTTCGTATAGTCATAGTCATCATCACCAGGAAAATAGTCATGGCCATAGAGACGCCCACTTGGCCAAGTGATGGTGTACGGAATTTCATTGTCAGGGTTGGAAATTTCATCTGATGAGTCCTCCTGTTTCTGCAATTAATTTATTTCAACTTCTTTTAGATTTTGAGTTCTCAATCAAGCCCACTACATCAAGTGGAGAAATTTTTCAGAGTAAACTATGAATCGAATATCACAACACATCATACATAACATATCAAGACTTTGCAAATTAAGCTTTTGATTTTGTTGACAGCAAAATTGGTTTCAAATTTTGGGAATTTCAATTCATCATCCACGGAAACAGACACAAGTACAAAAGGATTACAGAAACAAACACACGTACACAAACAAATAGTTATAGTCATAGTCATAGAGAGGCCCACTTGGCAGGGTTTTTCCATCCTGAAAATTAATTCCACTTCTTTTGATTTGAGTTCTCTATCAGGCCCATTACTTCTAGTCGAAAAAAAAAAAATTCGAGTAAACCGTCAACCAAACATCACAACACAACATACGTAACAACAAGCCTTGGCAATGTTTTTGATTTTCGACAGAAAATTAGTTTCAAAATTGGGAATTCCAATCGATCATCGACGGAAACAGACACAATACAAAAGGATTACATAGTCAAACACACACACAAACAATCGATTCATCAAGAGTTTATTGAATGTCAATAAATGATGAAAACATAATCAACTCAGAAACAGAGAATTAAGACTTACATCGCCTTCTGGGTTCTTCATATTCATTGTTCTTTCGAAAGTGAGGGTTTCTGGATTTATGTTTTATTTTTCTTGTTGTATGTGATGAAAGGAAACTATATATCTTAAGGGCAAATTTATATCCAAAATTCGTGTTCCCCCAAATACTTGGAAACGTGGGAAAGAGGGAAAGAAACGTGGGAAAGAGGGAAAGAAATAGATTTGTTATTTGTTAATTTTTTTTATTTATGGTAAGCATATATGGTAATCAGATTTATTTTAATATTTTAGTATTTGTTTTTAATTAGTATTCTATTGAATTAATATTAAGATAAATCTATACTTATATTAAAGGGGGTACTATTTACCAAATTAAGTAGCCAGAAAAGTCAATAGCATTTATTGCATTACTATTTTCGTATTATATTATATAAAAGGATATTCTATTTACTACATTTATTATCCAGAAAAGTCAACTGCATTAAATGTCATTACTATTTTGATATTATAATATTTTATTTATTTATTTGATTTATTTATTTGTTTTATTTTAAAAAGGTAAGTATAATAAAAAGATTTTAATAATAAAAAAATTAAATACCAAATAAAAATGTACACTTTGACTTATTTGATTATATTTGATATTTGATTATACCAAATATATTCCTATTTAGTATATACATTAAATACTTACTAAAGTATTTATTTATTTTATTTGTCAAAGTTAAGTATAGATTTGTTTATATTATCAAATCATAAAAAATATTAAATCCATATTGTAAAAAAAAATAAAAAAAAATCATATAATTTTATAACAATTCTACTACACTATTTAACAATATTCTTTTTTTATTATATAATAAAATAATAATTAAATATTATATTGTGAACAACAATAAGTATAATTGTTACTTTCTCTTATATCAAGGGATAAATTTATATGCTAAATTGTTGTTGTTTATATTATTTCAAGTAATTTGGTGGTTGATTTTCAAGTAGAAATATTGATATTTGAGACAGTCTGACTATCAAAGGTTATTCTTTCACCATCTTTTATACATAACTAAGAACCCCAGTTTCATAATAATATATGTTGAGTAAAATGAAATAGTTTTTTTGTTCTTCCTTTTTTTGACAGGTATGGAGTTGTAATATATCCTTAGAATACCATGGTACAGTATGTAGAAAGGAATGAGCATTTTTGTGCTTAAGTGTTGTGAGTTTGATAGGCAATCAATGGGTCAAGGTCAATCTTTATCACACGTTGGCCTGCTCTTGAAGAAACCGATTTTCCGTCACGACCAATAATATGTAATTGTTTCCCGTGTCAGTAATCGAAAAGGGTTGAAAATTTTAGTTTGTGGTGAGGATGGTTTGCCTACAAAGTAAACAAAGAATGTTGTGTACAAAGAGGTGTTTAATAACATATATTTCTTATTTCTTTATTTTTGTTTTATATTTTTTATTCACACAAAGAATTAAAAATAAAAAGATTCAACAAATTGCTTGAAAAAATGTTCACCCGTGCATCGCACGGGTTACGTACTAGTAAATATAAAAAGAGAAAGATATACATAAAAAGTGAAAAATACAAAAAAAATAAAAATAAAGAAAAAGATCAAAAAAAAGCAACAACAACAAAGCGGGCAAACACAACATAATGGACTGGGAAATTCTAAAACAGAACCCAAATATACTCGACTCAAGATCAAATAAACATTCAATTTTTTTTTGACAAGAACATGAAATAAATACTAAATGGCATGCGCCTGTATTGATTAAATAAATTGCATCTGAAGTGGTATCTATCCACAAGGATTCAGAATATTCAGCTACCGCATCTCAAGTGGTAATGCAGAACATATATGTCAAAAGAGTTGGTATGCCCAACTACACAACACAAAAAGCATAAATTAAACACCCACAGCCAAGCCAAGCCAACCCCATCTGAGACATCTTATTTGTAGCCCTAATACGGCATCGGATTTGTATATCGCTGCTCATTTGCCACTGCACGCACAACAATAAGAAATATTACAACATTGATCAAATGTTCATACGATTAAACATTAAAAGGCCAAATCAAAGACACACAACAATCTATTGGGAATAATAATTTTTTCATGCTGCACGTACAGAGGTTTGTAGACTGTTCATAAAACCATGTGTCCAGTCTGTGATCAATCCAGTAGCCGACTAAAATGCACAAGGCTCCCCTTCACAAATCAAAGAAAACAAAAAAAAGGTAATCAAGACTAAACCGTGAAAATTGTAGCGATATCATGTTAAATTCTATCTAAGCATCCACAATGACCAAATTGTCGTCATGTGAATAGAATAGATAGAGAGAAACTACCAACCTCATTATATCCACGTCCTCTTTGGCCGAGACACATGCATCCAACGAGGGATCTCGTCTAATAAGAGCCACCCTATCAGCAACTGTTATGCCCTCCAGCACATCATCTGCCAGCGTGTGTACATCCAAGAGAAGAGCATAACCCTCAGCAAATTTTTTCACAAAACCTTGGAGAACGTGTTCGTTTTTCAAAAGCTCCATCGCTTTTTGAGCAGGCTTGTTTTCATCACAATCACAATCAAGGGCCTCCAGAAGTTGTTTTGCTGATGGGATGAGTTCGGGATGTTCATTTACGAGGTGGCGGACCATATCCGAGATCTCCTCCAGCGTCTTCTCCTGCAGCATAGCATATATATACACATACAAGGCACAGTTTCAGTGGCACAACCGTAGAATTAAGAAATCGACGATAACTACTAATAAGCGATATGAGCATACGCTTTCAAGTATTATGGTAAGAGGAGACAATAGAGGAGGAGAGAATAGAGTGTTCGAACGCGGCTTCGTATAGTCATAGTCATCATCACCAGGAAAATAGTCATGGCCATAGAGAGGCCCACTTGGCTCAAGCTTGCTCTTTTCTGCCTGGGAAGAGTTTTTCCATCCTGAAAACTAATCAGGCCCATTACTTCTAGTCCAATAAAATTTCGAGTAAACCACCAATCAAACATCACAACACAACAAGACTTTTGGCAAAGTTTTTGATTTTCGGCCGCAAATTGGTTTCAAAATTCCAATCCATCATCCACGGAAACAGACACAATACAAAAGGATTACACAATCAAAACGCACACACAAACACTCGCATACGAAATTATTTATCTATAGCTTCAAGGAAGAGTTACTTTCAACCCCCAAATCCGACACCGACCGATACCTCCAAGAGTTGATTCAACACCAGCAACTAATTTAATTATCATAACAATAAAGTAACAGCACTCGCACACATCAGAGTTACGAATAGACAAAGAAAGTACAGAGAATACCATTGCATCGCCCTTCGGGTTCTACATGTTCTTAGGGTTTCCTTAAAACAATCGATTGTGGACGTCCACAGATAGCCTGCAGCGCATTATTTATATATATATATATATAATAAAGGGAAAAAATTTTTTAACCTCCCAAAGTATGCTGTTTTTTTAACTTTGCCATATAAACTTTTCTTTTTGACAATTTGCCTCCCAATGTAATCGAAACTGACAGTTTGCCTCCTCGATTGAAAACCCTAATATGGTACAAAAGAGTTTTTAACTCAATTAATGATGAATTTTAAATTAATCTTTAAAATTGATTGAGGACTTTTAAAGCCCATGACGAGACGAACAAAATGAGGTATGATTTGTCGATTTCTGAAAATTGATACCTCTAAAATCGATCCACGAAGATAGCAGGAGCACGTATGTATAGAAAAAATTTCAATTCAAGTTTTCTGGTAATCAAGATATCCGATTTTCGATTGAGAGGTGTCATTTGAAAGCTTGAAGGACGAGTTTTCTATCGAAGTAAATCTTATGAAAATCCAACGGTCGGATTTTGGTTAGTAGCCTAAAAAAAAGCTAACTATTGATCAATAGTTTTCTAAATACTGATCAAAATCCGACCGTTGGATTTTCATAAGATTTACGTGTTGGAAAATTGGTCCTACTAGCTTTCAAATGACATCTCCCAATCGAAAATCGGATATTTTGATTGTCAGAAAACTTGAATTAAAATTTTTTCTATATACACGTGCTCCTACTATCTTCTTGGATCGATTATAGAGGTATCAATTTTCAGAATTCGACATATTATACCTCATTTTGTTCGTCTCACCATGGGCTTTAAAAGCCCTAAATCAATTTTAAAGATTAGTTTAAAATTCATCATTAATTGAGTTAAAAACTCTTTTGTGCCATATTAGGGTTTTCAATCGAGGAGGCAAACTGTCAGTATCGATTACATTGGGAGGCAAATTGTCAAAAAAAAAAGTTTATATGGCAAAGTCAAAAAAACGACATACTTTGGGAGGTTAAAAAAAATTTTCCCTATAATAAATATCACATCAATTTTTATTAATTTAGATATAAGAGAGGGTGTTGTGGCATTTAGGTTCCACTATTTATATGTAGAAATTACTATATTACCTTTAATAAGGTATAATTTTCTTTTTTTTAGCTATTAGATCGGATGATCTAATAGCTACCATTTATTCTCATTTCTTTAACTAACCGTCATTCTCATGTGAACTCAATTATAATATATATATATATATATATATATATATATATATATTAGTACAACACCTGTGTATTACAGGTTAAAAAAATATTCTTAAATTTTAAAATTAATGAGAATAATTATTTTAAATTTGTTTACTTATCTACAAAAAATATATATTATTATATATTTTAGAATGACACCGTTACTTGTTTGACTTACATTTGTTATATTACAGTAATTTTTATAACTTATATCATATAACTACTTGAAATATAAATATATTAATTGATAAATAATTTGTTTTAATTAATATCAAAAAACAATTTTATCATTGTTATAAAGATAAATATAATTTATTTTTTATGTACATACAATATGGATGTTAAATCGAAACTCATCAAGAGATGATTAATTTGATATATTATATGTGTAAAAAGAAAGGATCATATGAGAATGGTAGATACTGAAAGAAATAAGAATAAATTTAGACCATTGGATCTATAATATCAATGGTCAAGATCAAGTCAAATAAATATACATAAAAAATAAATAATAATAATAATAAATAATTGTATTTTTTATGAAGTTCGGCCGTTCCATTATTTTGATTATTTAAATAAATAAATAAAATACAAAAATTAATATTTTTAATACAATTTGTTTTTTATTTCGGTTTATTTGAATAAAAAAACGACAACATACCGAACTAACCGATATTTAAAAAATAATAATAACAATAATAACCAAACACAAAATATAAAAGTTTGTACGAAAATTTTGTTCATTGAATGTCATTCAATTTCTGCAATCTGATATACATTTACGTGCAATCCGTTTAACTATAATGTGCAATCGCAATACATGAAAATACATATAAAAAAGTATTTAATTTTCATAAAAAATAGAAATAAATAAAAAAAATCGGTAGTATTTATCAAATAGTTCGGCATATTTGATTTTTTTGTTTATTTAAAAAAATTAAATTCGCCCTCTAACCAAATAATATTAGTCAATCTATTAGCATAACTACTATAATTTTGGTAATTGTGGTTGTAATTTTGGTAGGTGTAGCGTGTTGTTTAACAAGGTGCAACATCTTGTGTTATGAGGTGCAATATAATATTTTATAAAGTGCAACGTACTGATACATTAAAAAAATATAGATAAAAAAACAGTATTAATTTTCTTAAAAAAATATAAATAAAAAATAATAATAAAATTGGTAATATTTTTCATATAATTCGTGATGATCAATTATTTTATTTATTTAAAAACACTAAATTCGACATTTAATCAACAAATATTGTTTGATTGATTAGCAAAAATATTGAATTTTGAGTACGTGCATCGTGTCGTTTTATACGGTGCAACATGTTGTGTTATAAAGTGCAACGTATTGATATATAAAATGCAAAATTGAAATTTTGATATATATACATTAGCATGCTTGTGATTTGTTGTGTATAAATGATGTGGTGAATATTAAAATATTATGTAGATCTGTTTTTCTAAATTTATATTGCCTAATATTCTTCTGATAAAAGGAAACAGAAAAAGTAAAAGCCTCCCCAAGCCTGTGGTAATTACCTAATAACCTAAATTATGGGGATATGTAAGATTAGAAACGTAGGAAAGAAGTAGATTTGTTATTTGTTAATCTGTTTTTATTTATGGTAAGTATAAACGGTAATCTCAAACATCGGTGATTTGTGTATTACACGGGTGTATGTTAAAAAATTATTTTCAAAATTTTAAAATTAATGAGAAAAAAATTATTTTAAATTTTATTTACTTTTTTACAAAAAATATATATTATTATATATTTTAGAATGACACTTGTTACTTGTGCGACTTACATGTGTTATATTATCGTAATTTTTATAACTTATATCATATAACTACTTGAAATATAGATATATTAATAGATAAGTAATTTTTTTTTCCTAATTAATATTAAAAAATAATTTTATCATTGTTATAAAGATAAATATAATTTTTTTATACATACAATGGATGTTAAATCGAGCTCATCAAGAGACGATTAGTTTGATATATTATATATGTAAAACTGATAAAAAATACAAAAGTTGTTATAATAAGAAAAGATATTAAAACGCAATTAGTATATGTAACATGACCATAAATAATCAACATATTTATGGATAATCTGAAACTAATTATTTTTGGATTGAAAATAAATTAAAATCTACCTAAGTCAGTTATATAATTTTACCACATAGGATCCAAAACATGTGAGTCTGCCACTTAAGCTCAATATGTTCGGAACTAATATATAGGGGGATTGTATCCACCCACTCCCCTACCCTATGGATAGGCGGATTACCCATATGAAGGATAGATGTAAATTTAATCTCGGGCCACTGTTGTCCTAATGGCCCGAAATCATATCTAGTAAATGATACATTTTCTCTGAATTAGTAAATGCACGCAGAATGGATATCACCATCATACATTGAAAATTTTTTTGTCATATTTAAATAAATTTGTAAAAAAATAGTTACACTAATTGGCTTTCTTTCTTTGATCCATTTTTTTAAATTAATTTAGAATTGTTAATCAACAAGTAACAAAGAGATATAACTAATCACTTTTCAAATAAAATGTAGGAAATAAAGAAAAAAAAAAACAAGTGAAATGAAATAAACAATTAGATGAATGGAAAAATTTCTATTTAAATATAATTGTAAATTTTAGTTATACTGTTAAACTTGTTTAACAATAACAAGCAAAAATACCGCCAAATAAATTAAATAAAATATTATAACAACCACAAACGTATTATTTAGTGAAACTGTCGTATATGGGCTCGTCACGTGACATACAACAAGGACTTCAATGGACTTTCATTTTTTTTTTTAAGTTTTTCATTGTTTATTATTTTCTTAATTACTTTATTATTTGGAAAAAAANATCGGTGATAATTCGGCTTTCTTTGTTGCATGAAAGGAAGAACTTTTCAAATTTTTGTGCCTCACTTTTTTTATTTATATTTTCTTGGATTGGGAAAGTAGAGTAAAATAAACTGTTTTCCGGTGAGAAAAATAGAAAGGGGAGATCTTGATTGCTTGAATCTGTTAATGGAGCAGCTTATTAACTTCATTATAAGGCCACCCAGGTGAGAAAAAGTGTTCCTTTTTATGTTTACATTGGGTTCTTGTTCTTTTTCCTTTCCCTTTTTCATTCCCTCCATGTTAGATGTTTGGGTGTTACCGTTGCTAAAAATAGAATCTTGTTTATGGTTCTGAGATGGCTTTTGATTATTATTCTGGTAAGTTGGGTTTTTGTCTTAATTAATGGGTTTTATGAAAATTCATGTGGGTTTTTGTCTGTTCTAGTCTTTTATGATTTCATTTGAGTTTTGTTGTAATGTTTTTGGATTGGTACTCTCTGGGGTCTGTTTCTGATAAGAATTCTATCTGCTGTCAGATCAATTAACTGAGCTTCTATGTGAATCTCTATTGAGTTATTTGAATGAATTTATTTTTTTATATGGGATGCAGTATTTAATGTTGTTGTCATTTGAGTTCAGAAACTCCTGATGATACAGATTTTTTTTTTCTCTTTTTTGAGCCAAGAACTTGTATCTGAAGGCAGAAAGAAAATTCTTGCTTCTTTTGTAACATCAAAATCTTTTTATAAAAAGGGAGTTGGGCAACAGTTTTTTCTAAAGCTGGTGATAGCAATCCAGGTTGTGCTGGCATAAGAATTTGGCTTGCGATTCATAAATTCAACATACATACTGAACTAGATAGTGCAAAGAGGTATCAGTGCTATAAATGGTCATTACTTTCATTTATAATTTGTACCGACTACCGACACTTGTCAATCTGTAGCCATGATTTGCTTGGATTCTGAAAAAGTGAATGCATGTGGTTGATACTTGATACTGGTGGAACATATTCAACCCTTTAAAATTCTTGGACTTGCAGAGCTGAATACAATCCAAAAAACGATTTGTTAGATGAAGAATTTGTGCTAAAAGGCAAGTGGCACCAGAGGAAAGATTTGGAGGTAAGAGGGTATTTACGACGATGCTTCGATCTATAATTGAATCATGCTTTTCCCAATGTGCAAAAGATCGTTGAAAGCTGATAATGAGTGTATAAATTTTTTTTTGGCATAATTACTGAGCTGAAGTACATATCCACCTCCCCCTTCATAGTCATGCTTTTTGAAAAACCTTCCATTTGAACTTACGAGTTGAGATTTGAGACTTGCCGTTGACATCTGGTTGTCATTAAAGGAGTGTTTTTTTTATTTTTTTATTTTTTTATTCCTAATCCTGCAGGTCGTAAATAGTCGAGGGGATACACTACAGTGTAGCCATTACATGCCTATTGTTCGTCCAAATGGAAATCCACTTCCCTGCGTAATTTACTGCCATGGGAATAGGTTTGTAGTTCTGAGGATGGATATTTTTGGGACTCTTGAAGTTTTTTTTTTTTTTTTTTTTCCCTAATTATTAATCTTTTGATATATTAGTTTATTCTATGTTGGGTTTGCCAAACTTGATACAATTAATATAGTTACGCCAAATCCTAGTAATGTAGCAGGGGAACAGTTTTCTTTGAACATGCAGGAGGTTTAGTTGTATAAAGAATGATATGATATTGTCATGTGCCATTCATCAATATTACTTATTAGCTCTTTTTATCTTTGATCCCATTCAGTGGTTGCAGAACAGAGGCTATTGAAGCTGCTACTATATTGTTGCCATCAAATATAACTGTTTTTACACTTGATTTCTCGGGCTCGGGGATATCTGGAGGAGAGCATGTCACTTTGGGCTGGAATGAAGTGAGTTGCGTGCTAACTTATACCATGTTTCATATTGAACTAATTAGAGTTCCAATTGATTGGTTCTCAGAAAATCTTTTACAATGGAAATAACTTTTTTTTTTTTTAACAAGGAGTGTTTATAAAAGAGATGGGAAAGTGATTTTAGCTGAAACTTGTTTGAGATATAATAAAAAATGTCTTTTTATTTTTATTTTTATTATTTATTATCGTATCTTTGCTTGTGGTTTTTATTTGCCAGATATTTATGCAATGTACCTCAAATGGTTTATGGGTTTCGTGTAAATGGACTTGTATACAAAAACTGACATTTACTTTTGAGATGTGGTGTTGGTTTTGCAGAAAGATGATTTGAAAGCTGTGGTTGATTACCTTCGTGCAGATGGGAACATTTCCTTGATCGGCTTGTGGGGCCGCTCTATGGGTGCTGTTACAAGGTCAGCATTTTGTTTCTTCATTTGTCATCTAATTATGCTGCCTCAATATGTGTGAACTAGAATTATTATGTGAAAGTATTATGCGAACACATCTTTCGAGTGTACTGCAATAATAGATATTCTGTCGAATTTTCGGCTTTGACATTTGTGCGTCATTCAGCTTGATGTATGGAGCTGAAGATCCTTCAATAGCTGGAATGGTGTTGGACAGTCCCTTTTCGGATTTGGTTGATTTGATGATGGAACTTGTTGATACTTACAAAGTTCGCCTTCCCAAATTCACTGTAAGTTGACCAATCCTCATCATAGTTTTCGTGTTTTGACACCAAATGTTATGATGAGAGAACTCAAGATCCTCTCTCTCTCTCTTTCTCTCTGTGTCTCTCCATTTAAAACGATAAAAACGTAAAATAGAAAAGCATCAAATTTTCATTTGACAAGGCTTATTGAAAATCTCCTTTTGTTTTCTCTCTTTTAAGTTTTTAACAAATTTCACCCATTTGTTTATAGGTTAAGTTTGCTATCCAGTTTATGCGAAGAGCAATTCAGAAGAAGGTAAAATTTGACATAACGGATCTGAATGCTATCAAGGTATATATCACCACCTTAATGATCATCTCAGATAATGGTTGTCCCATTCACTAATTAATTTCCTTTTCTCCTTTTAAATCCTAAAATTCTTTCTTTTCTATTCTTTTTTTNNTGAGATGGCAATAGGTAACATTCAGCTACTTGATAATTTTGCTGATTATTCGTATATACTAGTGACTGTGAGTTCTATGATTATTTTCAGGTTGCAAAGTCTTGTTTCGTTCCAGTTCTATTCGGTCATGCCACTGATGATGATTTCATACAACCACATCATTCTGATCGAATATTCGACGCTTATGTGGTATCCTATCATGCTATAATCTTTTTAAATTTGTTTACTAGTTATTTTTAACGTGTTCTTGTTTTTGCATTTGAGACAATCCACTAAATGTTGTTAATCTTTAATTACCTTCAACTTTCGTGGTACTTAACGGACGTTGATTGCCAAATGTATATTTGAGTTTTTTTGTCATGATCTTTCAGTAATGATTTATGGATGGTGACTGGATGTATTTATTAAATACGAAAAGAACACAACTTATAAAAGTTCTGCAAAGCATCATAATCCTAGCCTAATGGTGACTCTTTTTTAAGTAAAATCCGATAAACTAAAAACATGCAGTTTTGAGGGTTGTGTTCTACTTTTTGCACTTTGACCTTCATATTTATCAATGTGATTTTCAGGGTGACAAGAATATAATCAAATTTGAGGGTGACCACAACTCTCCGCGCCCTGAATTTTATTTCGATTCCATAAGTATTTTCTTCAACAATGTGTTACACCCACCAGAGGATGAAGTTGGGAGTGCATATTTTGATGCAACTCATGACTATATTCCCAAGGTAAATTTCTTTCGAAAATATGGATAAATACAAAGTTTCACTTTCGGTTTTGGTCATATTTTTTAGCCGGAACAGACAAAAGTGCCATTTTTGTAAACATTCCAATTCCTTATCAGGTTAGATTGCAAAACTTGCATCTAAGGGTTTAGTCTGTTTATGAAAAAAATGATAATAATAAATTAGAAAGTGTAATTACTTTGTTTGGAGTAATACAGATGGTACATTCAAATTTTTGTTTGCTTAATAAATGCCTGCCAATGGAGCGTGTAATTGAAAAATAAAACAACTGCAAAGAATAATTGGTTGTACAACAACTTGCAGGGTAGTTGGAATATTTTCCGAGATATGGAGTTTACGGATGACTTATTGGATTCACCTACTGGTGGGTTACTTTTATTTTGCTTCTTTTTCATTTGCTTTTGTACTAGAATTAAACTCATTTTCGTATAGCTTCAATTAGTGCTGTTTGGTCAAATCTCAGGTCCAGCAACTAGCTGTAGCACTGAGGACTCCATCAGAAAACTTCGCTCCAGAAAACCTACGAGTATGATTGTGGTAGGGTTTAAGGTTTTTTATACATATAATTCAATATGATACTCACAAAAATTATCCTAATAAAACCAAGATGAAAAGAAAAGATCCTCAATGGTGCAGTTTGTAAAATAGGATTATATGTCCATACGAAAACTGTAGCTTTCAACTTTCTGTGTTTATTTCGGTCCTTTTCTTTTCTTCTTTCCCTTTAGTTTTTGTCTTTTAGTTTAGCTAAACCTTGAGGATACCATTTGCGAGGTAATAATATCGTGCTCTATAATGTTTCTGGAAAGATGATCAATTTTGCTGTTTGATATATGAGAAATTGGTTAATCATTTTTCGTATAAGCTTAGAAACTTTTTCACCCAAGTTAAATCTACTTTTAGAAAAGAGGAACATTGCTTTACTTTCTCCCTTTTTTAGAGTCTGTACAAGCAAAATATCTTATTTATGTAGTTATATGGTCACCAAATCAAATCAATCCCATGTATTTTTTATTATTCAGGTTCCTTCAGATGCTTTGGCAGATTTCCCAAGTAACGGCGAAGAAGAAGAAAAGGCAAGTTTTT